CACCCGCGGCGGGATCGTCTGCGAGAAAATTCTCTCCAACAGGATTTTCACGTTTTCTCTCGTCCGGTTGGACCGTGAATTAACGCGAACGGTACGGTGACAACGTTCTTTTTATCTCGTTGTCGATCTACGAATAGATTCGTATCGAGGAAGCTTCGAAACGTGGGTGGACTCGACCGTTGTGGGGTGCAAGTATCGTCGTCGTCGTCGTCGTCGTCGTCGCCGTCGTCGTCGTCGCCGTCGACGCACAGTGTTTCGATCAATGGACAAAAATCGAAATTTTAAAGTGTAAGATCTGTAAACGTTTGTTTCTCTTAAAATCGTCTTAAAATGTTAAAGATAAAACGTGTGACTTTCGATATTCATATCGATTTGTTGTCGAAATTTCCTGCCAAAGTGCATTTTCTCAAACGTTGTGTCTTTCGTTGCAAAAACAATTTCAATGCAAAACGAATGTCCTTTCATTTCTTATACAAAATGTTTTTGTCAATTTTAAGAAGACTTTTGATAAACTTCCGTGATTTTTCGCAAATTCATTTATAATATATGAGACTTTCGATGTTAAGTTGAACTGCTCAGATTTGTAGAAAATGGGGAAAATCGTTGAAATCGTTACTGACACGTCCTAGCGCTTAACGCGGTCCCCTCTTGGAGGTGCTTCACAAAGATAATACGTTGGTCTGAAACATCCTTCATCTAAACAGCTTTTTCTAATTGTCGCATCCTACTAATCGTAGGTGCCGTATGGTCGAGCAATCCAATCAGTCTTTCCAAATTCATTTTCTGTATAATGTTATTGTTTGAACATTTACACAGTTATATTTCATGACTTAATTTCTATTTATAATTAAGTAGAGTTCGAATAAGATAAAAATAGTCGTCAACCGATGCGTGATACTATAACTTTATGAATTAACACTTAAGTTATGAATAATGAATGAAATCTTATGTAATATCAATGATATCCGTTCACGCAAGGCACCGAATGTTTGGTAAACAGAAAAAATGTTAGTCTTAATATTTTGCAAAGAGAACGTTATCGATTAAAAAAAAAAAAAAGAGTAAAAAACAATTTGAAGAAATGTCGAAACACTGTGCGACGGTTCGAACGATCTGAAATTGGTTCCAGTGGTGGCGGTCGTGTAGCGGCAACGTCGAATAGGTCGCAATAAGGAACAGAAACGACCGGTGACGTACCATCAACGTCGAACCGCGGCGATCGTCGGAAGATCGTTGGGGATCGTATCGTGTCCTCGGACCGATGGATTGAAGCAACGTCCAGGAAGAAGCTGTCGTCGAGCGGCTACGGCTTCCAGGATTTCATGCAACGCCGATGGAGGGTTTATAGATCGAGAAGGGGCGCACCGGACCACCCGAACGAGGTGTCATCCGGCTGGTGATCGCGTCGGTCTCGCGTCGTCCTTCGTCCACGGGGCTGAGGAGACCGGGATCGTTAGCCGTGGGTGTTTTCGATCAGTTTAAGACAGTGACAACCGAGTCCCAAACAGGCGCTGCGGCGCCGAAATGGGCCCCGCCAGCAGCCGCGAACAGATCGGGGAGCAGATCGGTGACGACGATGGCTTGCAGATCAAGACTAAACCTACGATCAACCACATCGTAAGTGTCCGTCGTTACCAAATTATGTAACGTACAAGTTTTTTACTTGGTTTCGTTGAATGCATATTGTGCGTCGGAAGGATTCATTGTAGAGATCGGATACAGCCGGGTGTGTGCACACGTGAAACTAGACAGAAGCAAACGTTACGATTTGCCACTCTATTTTCGTCATAAAACAGACACATATTCGTGCATCTGCGCTAGAACTTCAATGACGAAACACTGTGAAATGTTTAATTTAGAAAATAACTTCTGCTTCGCGAGAACGATCGGAAACTTTCGAAACCGTTCGTGCAACAATTCGCCAAATATATTGTGGTCATTCGTCGAATAGTGCATGTATTTATCCGTATAGTGACACTATGGCGATATATCTCTTCGTCGTTAATAGATGTTCGTTCTTCTTCCAAATCCTAAAGCAGTTCTCGATCAATCTTCTCGTGCTTTTTCCAAAGTTCTATTTTCAAGAACGCTGAAATCTGGAAGCAAGGGGGTTAAACCGTATTTCAATGCGTAAGACGACCGAAGAAGAATTAGTTCACGATCAACGAGCTTGTTTTGGAAATCTGTCCTAGAAAGATATCTCGTGCATGCTTGTGCACGCGGCTAGAACTTTGTACTTATCCGATAGAATCGCTTTGCACGTTTTGTGTACGTCCGCGCGGCGTCGCATCCATGAGTAATCTGTAGCGGAAGGAATACGGCCAGTCATCGTGTAACAAAGAAAAACAGAAAAGGAGAGGAAAATCGTAGAACAAAGAGAGAGAAAGACATCGCGCAAAACGAGACGATAGGACATCGAGAAGACTCGGCAAGGGAAATGGAGTGAGATGGAGGTTTTCATAGAGTGGGGAATCGGATGGACTCCACGTCCGCGATACGATAAGTCAGCCGGTGGTTGAGCAGCGCGCATTTTCATATCGCTCGTTTCTTGTACCACAGCTGGACGCTGTCCACTCAGGTGGCGCGAGTCCCGCCATCTCTCTTTTTCTCCCTTTCATTCGCTCTCTCTCACTCATCGCGAGGGTGTTCATCTTCATTCAGATATAGGACGTTCCGGTCATACGGTTGCCGTAATGTCGCCTAAGAATAAGGTATGTAAAACGAAACAAAACAATGACTTACTAATGGGTACCGGTTTGCAATTGTCCGTCCTGTGTTTGTCTCCTATGTTGTTCCGATATAATCTCGAATCGCAACTATACCATATCTTTTCTTACGAACACTATCAAACTTCGAAAGTTCCAATTTGTCATTTTTCAAACGATTTCTATCTCTCGCCAACAGCGATCGTAATCCCCCTTTCGTGCGCGCATATCCAACAATCGAATTTCATCGAAAACGATACATCACCGCGTGATCTATCGCCACTTAGAGCCAGTTTAGTCTCGTGCCTCTTTAGTTGGCGTAAATCCATTTGAATCGATAACAAAACGGCGATGACCGATCGGTGGGCGTGCTTTTTCTATCATTAACCAGTGGAATGTTAACCGGCGATTCACGCGGTGCGGCGCGTTTTTGGCAAAACTTATCTCTTTTCGAAAGGTAAAATTGCAAAATACGGGGACGAGTTAATCACGAGTGAAAGTAACCTAAGCTTAGAGGAGAATACGTCGACTACGTAGCGTGTTACGGAAGACACGTTCCGCGTATGTAATATCGAATCGTATCATTTGGGTGGAGTTGTACCTTGTTGCTCGTCGTAGGCCATATCACGTGCCAGTTTACAATCGTTTGGTGTCGAGCCTCGGATTATAATGTACTTTATTACGTGCGAACGTCTTATCTTTTTGAGTGTTTGTTGAATTCGTTATCGTTCTGTATCGATGTCGAGTATTCCTCTTATCCTCGGGCTACTCGGTTGGCTATTGTTAAATTGTAAGTACTAATACGTGTCCATGGATTCAATTTCACCGGCCGAGTTCTACCGTTTCGAAGCGCAGGACGCCAGTGGATTAACCTCGATATTTCGTAGACCAATTTCAGATACATAACCTCTATCGCGAAGAGTAATTAACGAGATTCCAGTCTTCGCGATAACGACAGGATAAACATACGATTAATCATCGCGGTTAGAGGCAACAGTAAATTGTCATAATTCTCCCGGATCGATTAAGTTCGATTAGATGGCTCGAGTTATATGTTTTCGCGATATCAGCGATTTATCGATAGCACTTTCAAACGCATCACCGTGTCGAGCAGCAGTTCTACCACCTTTCAATAAAATTTTTCCAAAGTCTATCGTGATGTAACGAACACGCGCGAAAATAAGACCGAAAAAAATATTATCGCCGCGGTAATTCAAATAGGGTTGTGATAATTCGATGCGCATACACAGACTATATGTGATTCATCGATATTACGGGAACGTTGCTCTTCCTTTCTGTGATTGTATGTACTCGCCGTTTATCGCGTGCTCCTAGTATCTCGCGTCCTAAGCAAACTGGGACAAACGAAGAAGAGGCTAACGTAGTCGTCGTAAACAATGCCCCGTTGCGATTCAGGGAAACATCGCCGCGATGCGGCTCGTTTATGTTTTCTGACTCATTTCAATGAGACGTCGTTAACTGACGTTTCCAGGAAAACGAGTACCAGATGTTTTCCCGCGATCGTTGCAAATTTTTGCTAATTCGCTAACGTTGGTTTCTCGCTTTTCCAATTCAAATGATTGATCTAGCAATTTTCTACCTACTAAATTCCGATTCTCGAGTCGCGAACTTCACAGTTTCCGAATTTCGAATTTATCATTTCGCGAATCATAAAATTTTGTCGAAGAAAAACATCGTTTTATTTGTCCGTGGTTATCTCGGGGCATTAGTTACGGATCAAGAGGAAAAATAAGCAATATTTCGTCATTTATCGTGAATTGAATCCGCTAGCGCGTTACCCGTTCTCGCAAACATCTCGCTATTAATTTTTCCACGGAGATGAGAAGCAGATGGCGTTTTTCATGTGCCTCGTGCGCGTTGAACGTTAATTGTCGCTGGTTATTATCTAATTAATTCATAAGCGTCGTTGAACAACACGCAAGTATCGTGGAACAGTATTGCACAGTGGATCTCGCGTGATCGACGTTACGTACAGTGGTACCATTCTCTTCCTGTACCTACCATTATCCCTTTTATCGTGCTGATTCTTCGACTGTTTCCACCACTGTCACACGACTCGGGATCATCTTCACAATGTTTACTTAGTACCCCCTCCTTGTTTCGTTCCTCTTCTTCACTGTTCGTCGCGGTAATTCGATCGTCGGTGATTTTCGTGGAGAGACGGCCATCATCGTGGATCGGCTATCGATTAACCGCGATTCCATGTATCGTTGGTAATCTCGATAATACGATATTTTCGGTTCTCTCGCATGCGAGATCGATTTCATGGTGGTGTAAGCATCGAGACTTCGATTAATAGCGGCAGTGTCACGCTACGGGTATGGCCACTTTACGATACACGGTGTTTCTCGTTCGACTATCATTCGATTGTTCGATCTTGAACGTGACTTCGAGAAGCCACCTGATACCGTCACAGTGGAAACTGTCACTTTCATCGTGAAGCACGAGCGTTGCCAGCAAATATTTGCTGCGCGAGGTAACGTTTCGAAACGGCTAACTCTAAAAATTGCATAAACTTCGTGTTCCGAGGTGGGTTCGATTCTCTAGGTGTCGTTAAAAAAAAAAAAAACAAACGTTCTCCGGCGCGTGAACGTTCATCAGGCTAATGGCTAACGCGGAACATCGTATCGATATACTGAATGTAAGTTTCATGTTGCTGCTGTTTCATTAATAAATAATTTGCCGATTTGTGTATAGCTATGTGCTGATTAACGTGAATCATTCACGCCGAACAGAGCCGAGTGACATTGAGCTTCATCGCGTCGGTCACTCGATGTAATTTCTTCTGTAACGCACGAAACTAACCCTTCGAATACGCAGGGGAATAATGAAAAGGTTTATGGCCTTGCGAGTAGCGCAATGTCACGGAGCTACTTATTTTTGTGCTCTTGATGCTTGACGAGGCCTGGTACAGCTTTTCAAATAAAATGGAACGTCAGATAGCTTTTCTTCGCTCGCACGCGATTTAATTTTAACTTGTATCACTGTTATACGCACGCTAGTGATGGGCAACTGCGCCCGCGAGGGCGCGGTACACGGATGCGCGCGAGAGGCGTGCACCGATCAGAACAGAATTCTCCTTTTATTCCTATCGATGAGCGGATAATTTTTTCAACTTTTAATCTAAATTTTCAATTCGGAATTTTAAGACTTAAGATATTTTATGCAGTATTTATTTAATTGTTGCGCCCACAGTACGTACTCGTGTCCATAAGATCTTTGGCGGGTACATCTGCCCATCACCGTTACACGCTATCGATTTAAACGTTCGAAATTTTTTTTTTAAGCGAATTTAACTCTAGCTACTGCTACGATACTATTTAGAAACGTTACGTTTAATTTATAGCCCTTCTTGAAAATTTCACGTTCAGCTTTTTTTATCTTGCTAGGTATGTTTTAACACTTTTTTACGATGTTTATACGAAAAACGGGAGTAAAATGCGCGAAAAAAAGCGGTCGAACTGTTTACATCATTGTCCGAGCTTCTTTAATACTTTATAGCTTACGTTTATGTAACGTACATTCGTAAGGTCACAAATTATTTTCAAACAAATCACTTCGTATCAAGATCTTTTACGTGTTACACGAAATTAACGTGAATCGTTTGTTGAAATTCCTAAATAAGTACGTCTGTTTGTTTCGCATTGTTCCTCGTACGAATGTTTTTATTCGAATGCATATTTTTCGTTCCGTTTCTATGAAACTGAATTTCAGCAGAAAAAAGATAAAATGGTGTTCGTTTGAAAATTCAAGGCGTCTTTCGGAACCATGAACGATGCAAATTCGCATATCGTCTGGTCGTCCGCGCCACGTAATTGTGATAGGGTGGGGACGCGTGTGCGACGCTTCGCATTTATAGGTTAACTTTTCGCGCACGGACGATCAGTGCCGCTTCAACGAGGGCTCTGTGCTCTCTCGTTGTCGCAAGGGATTCTTTTGTTCGGCAAGTACTTAAATTCTCACCGACAACCGTATAAAATTCAACCGTTCGTGCACTCGAAACTCCTCAAAAAACGGAATTCGATGAAACGATAACAGTGCCTTCATACAAGTTAAACCTTTCGTTCCCGATCACCAAATAAGCGTTCGTACGTATTATTGACACATCGTCGTGCGCCTGTTGGCTCGATCACTCGAATCATCGTACGCACCGCACGAGAATTATTCGTAAACGCGATGACAGAAGAAAGAACGTTTCACGCGTGAACTACAACGTTATTTCGTTCGAGGAGGTTCGAAGAAGCGAAGACTATACTACGGGTGTTCGTATATAAATAGAATGTTCGTAGCGCGTAGTGATACACAACAGCTATACGTTCAGTAGAACAGGCAGTCGTTTGTGCCGGCAAAACTTGTCATGACAATTAAAGCGTGCTGTGTTATTTTGCGAGGTGTGCAGTGTTCGTGTGCATCCTCGATGTTTCGTGGCTGGACCTCGTCGATGACCTGAACTCTGGGAAGCGTCGTTGCGTGCTTGTGTATTGTGTCGCGATATCGGAGCGACAAAGAGAAAAACGTTCATTCCATAGAGGTGCATGCTTGTCACTGTTCGGTGTCGTTAATCGTTGTTGATTCCCATAAAAGCGGTTGGACGCGTGATGGCAGACCGATAAAAGGCTGCTGACACGAGAGCACGCGAATGTGTGAGACATGGCAGCGGATTTTGACGAGTGCGACACGACTCCTGTTTAATCGCAACAGGGGGGGGTTTTGAAACGCGCAAAAATTGCGTAGCGTAGCAAAAAACCTTGTGGGATAAAGTCACGGAAAGAAAGAACATACAGCGCGCAGCTGCGCGCACTTCTACGAAAATAGAACTCTGCACACAGTGTGTGGAGGCCAACGGCGGAACGAGCGAAGTGTGACATTAAGGCGATCGTAGAATGTCGCGCGTGTCGCTCAACAAGTCGCAGTACAGCCAATACGGCTCGCGTCGCGTGCGGAAGATCAGCACGGTACGTTTCGAAGATTCGTCGTTTGTATGATAACCGCGTGCGTGTATGCGCCACCTCGTTCTCGCGTTTCTCCAAGAGATCTCGTACGTCTCGCGCGTTAGGGTGCGTTTTTACTAAGCGAGCGAATGCTTATCGCTTCCCCCACTACGCCTATGTTCGAGCATTTTTTCGTTTCTCGATGATTCAGTTTGAGCGTGACTAGAATTGATACAGTTCGTTGGACCAGATTTAATTGGACATCGTGCGATCGAGTATGAATCAATTCCACAACATTCAGTTTCGTACGATTCGATTCTACACGATTTAATAATCCTACGTTACTATTCTGTGCAGTTAAATTTCGCTGTACCGATCATTCCAATGCTGTGTTTAAATTCTACAAACTTTCGTTATCATTCAGCTGTTTGGTATGGGTGAGCATCTTGTTTGATGTCGTTTACGCTAAACGAGCACATGAACGAATGTTCCTGCTCGTTTATTCTAAACGCACCCTTACGAAGCGTTGTAGTCCGTTTCGTTGGTCGTTCGGGGACGACACGTGACTTAGCCTTGACAATCGATGTAATTTACACTTTCGAATAGAAGTTTCCAACAAACGCAAGAAACGTGCCCGATCGCACACCGTACGTTCTGTACGTATACATCCTCTGTACACTCGTGGTAACAACGCGTGCCTGTGTGCACCATTTGCATCCGTCGCGAATGTGACACCGACCGCCACGAAAACAAGGTCGGAAACAATACCTTCTGTCGAGCTTCCTTCGCCTTGGCGTTAGGTGGCGCACGTCTTGCTGATTCTAATGACAAGTGGATCAGCTGATCAGGCTGACCTTCCATTCGACTAAGTCACTATCGCGTCCATCGATGATGCATTCGTATATATTACCGTTACATTTAAATTCGTTAATGTGGCGACAACGTCGAGGTCATTGTACGGAATCCCTTTGTTTGTCCGAAATGTCTGTCAAACTAGTCCCTCATCTTTCAAACAACAGACGAATAAGATTATTTACCGAAGCGATTTTCATTTTTAATTTGAAAATGATAGGATAGACAATAGAACATTTCTTCCAATAATCAAAGTTGTTTCTAGTTTATTAAATTCGGTGGAAACACCATTTTACCTTGAATAAAATGTAGTCTTAGGAACTGGTTAAGTCACGATATATGTATATGTATGTGCTTACGTTTGCGTTATAGGATCTAATAACTCGGCCCGGTCGTTCGTTATCACATTACGTTTAGGAAATCATCTTTTTTAATAGAGTTTTTATCAATGTAATTCATTTTTGTAATATACATCTAATAAATTTTTAATTGCTATTATAAAAATGTCATTTGTAAACATACAATATGATAATGCAGAACTGCTTGAGTATGCATGATTCTTTGAAATATCTGAGGATTCTCATCTAACTATCTGTTAGTTTATCTTCAATCTTGTATAGCGATCAGTAATATATCCATATATTTATGTGCTGGCATGAAAGGAAGCTTTTTCTTGCAGCACTCAAGGTGAACTGCCACTAGTTTACTCAAGGAAAACGCAAATATCAATGTTACGATGCGACAAGATGTTATAAAATTTTCATTCAAACTTTGTGGTCAACATGAATCTCATCACTCATTATTGATCTTTGTATCCTCTATAATATACCAAAAATTAATACTATTTCTTTGATTCACAATTTGTTCATTTTTGATGCATTGAAGCTATTGTGTTCAAGTAATTTATGAAAATGTGTTACATCTTTTTATAGACGGAAAGTGAATACTCTGTAGAAGAACATGCAAGATTAACAACTACAGATGGACCAGGTGATGAAGCATCTCCAGAGGATGAGGGGGGATCATTGTGCGAATACCATGATATACCGCCTCCACCTGATGGTGGATATGGATGGGTTGTGGTATTTGCATCATTCATGTGTAACATGATAGTAGACGGTATTGCCTACACTTTTGGTGTTTTTCTGGGAGAATTTGTTAAATATTTTGGAGAAGGAAAAGGAAAAGCAGCATGGGTTGGCTCATTATTATCTGGCATGTACCTCAGTGCTGGTAAATTTCCTTTTTGTAAAAACTGTTGTTTGTTTCATTATATGATAATATCATATTTTAACAGATCTTAATTTTTACAGGACCCGTTGTCAGTGCTTTAACAAATAAATATGGATGTAGAGCAGTGTGTATGGCTGGAAGTTTTTTAGGTGCAGCGGCATTTGTACTTTCAACATTTTCAACTAGTATAAATATGCTTATGCTGACTTATGGTGTTATGGGAGGTGCGCAAAATAAATTTGATTACCGTCCAATTTATTTAACTTCACTTTAACCATCAGTTTCTAATCATACTGCATGTTTCAGGAATTGGATTTGGTCTAATATATTTGCCAGCCGTAGTTTGCGTGGGTTATTATTTTGAAACCAAAAGATCTTTAGCTACGGGTATTGCCGTATGTGGTTCAGGATTTGGTACATTTGCATTCGCGCCGCTCGCAACAATGTTATTAGAAACATATAATTGGAAAGGAGCAAATTTGATCCTTGCAGGCCTTATTCTACATTGTGCTGTACGTGCCTTATAAAAATAATATTGGCAATACAACACTTAGTTAAGCCCTCTTAAACGCTGTTTAACGATCGCTCAATTTCAGGTGTTCGGCGCAATGATGAGACCGTTAGAATACCCAAAACCTTCTTCTGTTAAACCACTGTTACAAAGAATGGCGGAAGAGAAAAGATTTCAGATGGAACGTGGGAGCATTGGGGGTTCTTATTTCATGGTACAATTGCCTGACGGATCCATGGAAAAAAGAATGAAAATGCCTATTAATATCGATCCTGGTGTTCATTCTAGCTTCAATTTAGACCAATTAGTGCCTGGTAAGAAAATCTACGCTAATTTTAATTAAGATACATATTTAAATAAGCTGTTCTAAAATTATATTTTATTCGATCATAATATCAAAGGAACTCCTTTAACACCAGTTCCAACGGTACCAACCCTCCCCACTATATCGGAAGTGAAAGTGCAAGAACACTCTTCTAGTGGAGCAACTAGTAACAGTGGCAGTATGGACTTAAAAACTATTTCCACCAAATCAAAGAGTAAAAGGAATATCGACGATACCAAAGAAACGAAAGATGTATCAGAAAAGTCTGAAAGTGAATTTAAACCAATTATTCCTAGAAACGCTTCGCAGCCAGCTTTCACGACTCACGTGCAAGGTTTACCCAAAAATGGTTCTGTGCCATTCTTTGATAGAATTCGTAAAACTAGTACTGGCGAGAGATATAAACCAAGTCTTAGCGCGATTAAGAATTCTAGAACGACGTTAAACTCAAACGGCGATATCAGAAAAAGTTTACATTTGAGACTTTCTACGAGCAGCGTCATGGGTTCTCGGAATAATAACGCGGAAGTGGACGTACGTTGTTTATAATTCTATTTTCTTCAAATGTATGACTGTACTATATGTATAATACAGGATTAATGGTGTATTTTACAGGATGGCGAGAGTATTACTTTTACGACTAGCAAATCAAGTATCCCAAAAGAGAAACCACAAATAATTCGGCCATTATCGAGAAAGGATATTTTTTACAGCGGCAGTGTACTTAATTTACCAGAGTATCAGAGTCAAAAGTCTCTGGCGAATTATCGTCAGAGTGTTATTTCGTTACCAAAATCTGTTCGAGGAGACGTCAAAGACACCGATGTCGAGAAGGCACCTCAACGTAAGTGATTTATTTTTTAGGCAGACTTACAATAAATTTATGACTTTATTAAAATGTCTTTAACATTGCAGAACCATTGTGTCCTTGCTTGGTGCTACCGGATTCATTCAAAGAAGCCTTGGCTACGATGATGGATGTATCTTTACTGAAGGATCCAGTGTTTCTGTTGATCGGTATTAGTAATGTGTTCGGTATGGCTGGATTGTATGTCCCCTTTTTTTACTTGGTAGACGCTGCGGTTTTAGATGTAAGTTCAATCGTGAATCATACATTTTTTATGAGGTATCGTTTCTTGCACGACTTGTTTCTAAACGTGTATTTTTTTCAGGGAATTGAAAGCAATTCTGCGTCGTTTTTATTGTCTATAATTGGCATTACCAATACTGTAGGACGTGTAGCTTGTGGATACATCGCGGACTTTCCACAAGTAGACTCTCTGCTGTTAAATAATATCTGTTTAATTATATCGACAGTTGCTGTTGCTGCAACACCATTTTGTCATTCTTATCCCGCTTACATCGTTATGAGTATATTTTTTGGTATAGCTATATGTGAGTATACGTGTTTTATTATCAATCTATATTTCATTATAACGAAGTAGTTACAAGAATCGTAATTTTCTTCTTTTTATATTACAGCGGGATACATTTCTTTGACATCAATTATTTTAGTAGACCTATTGGGGTTGGACAAATTGACAAATGCATTTGGTCTTTTAATTTTATTCAGAGGTGCTGCTGCCATTATTGGTTCGCCTTTGGCAGGTGCCGTTTACGATGCAACAAAAACCTATAATATCCCATTCTTTATGGCAGGATTTTTCTTCTTGATAAGCACTATAACCAGTTTCATGGCTCCAGCAATGAAACGGTGCACAACGCCGCAGGTACATACATTTAATATTTTTTAAGGGTTATGGGTTCATAATTTGTTTCAAGAATAACGAGTAAAATTTATTACAGACTCAGCCTGTGATATTAGATACATTGACTCCAATTGACGAAGATATCGAAGAGGAGAACGAGGAAGATATTCCTGAAATTGTAGAAACTGCGCCATCTCCGCAAGAACCGCCTGAAAAAGAAATTAAACAAATAGAGTCTGTTTTATAAAGGTTGGTCCGCATAAGGAGACAAAAAATATATAGCCTTCACCTCCGAGCCACACTGTGATAGGGCTGCTGCTTTGAGAAGGTCTGAAAAAGGTATTTTTTCGTTATACAATTTAATGGATGAAGCACAAATTAATAAATATCACCTGATGGTATTTTTGACGTACTTAGAATTTTTGCAATTGTATCTAATTTTTTTTATGAAACTAATATATGTATATATATTAGTAGATATATATACAGGGAAAAAATGCCATCAGGTAACCAAATTTCATTTGCCTATGTCAATAGTAGATTATAGATAGAAGAATTTATTAACTTTGCTGTTAAATAATATCTGTTTAATTATATCGACAGTTGCTGTTGCTGCAACACCATTTTGTCATTCTTATCCCGCTTACATCGTTATGAGTATATTTTTTGGTATAGCTATATGTGAGTATACGTGTTTTATTATCAATCTATATTTCATTATAACGAAGTAGTTACAAGAATCGTAATTTTCTTCTTTTTATATTACAGCGGGATACATTTCTTTGACATCAATTATTTTAGTAGACCTATTGGGGTTGGACAAATTGACAAATGCATTTGGTCTTTTAATTTTATTCAGAGGTGCTGCTGCCATTATTGGTTCGCCTTTGGCAGGTGCCGTTTACGATGCAACAAAAACCTATAATATCCCATTCTTTATGGCAGGATTTTTCTTCTTGATAAGCACTATAACCAGTTTCATGGCTCCAGCAATGAAACGGTGCACAACGCCGCAGGTACATACATTTAATATTTTTTAAGGGTTATGGGTTCATAATTTGTTTCAAGAATAACGAGTAAAATTTATTACAGACTCAGCCTGTGATATTAGATACATTGACTCCAATTGACGAAGATATCGAAGAGGAGAACGAGGAAGATATTCCTGAAATTGTAGAAACTGCGCCATCTCCGCAAGAACCGCCTGAAAAAGAAATTAAACAAATAGAGTCTGTTTTATAAAGGTTGGTCCGCATAAGGAGACAAAAAATATATAGCCTTCACCTCCGAGCCACACTGTGATAGGGCTGCTGCTTTGAGAAGGTCTGAAAAAGGTATTTTTTCGTTATACAATTTAATGGATGAAGCACAAATTAATAAATATCACCTGATGGTATTTTTGACGTACTTAGAATTTTTGCAATTGTATCTAATTTTTTTTATGAAACTAATATATGTATATATATTAGTAGATATATATACAGGGAAAAAATGCCATCAGGTAACCAAATTTCATTTGCCTATGTCAATAGTAGATTATAGATAGAAGAATTTATTAACTTAATCAGTATAGATTGATCAGTATAAAAAATGTTGAAAAAAAAAAAAATGAAAAAAATGCTTTTTGCACTTGCATATCGAATAATCTTGACAAAGAAGCAAAAACATTAATCTCGATTATAGGTGATACAAATGTTATGATTTAGAATAAGGATGGTCAATCTTACAGTTTACGACTGGCTCTCTTTAACCACTGTTCCCTCTTTAATACCACGTTTTAAGAGTACTTTTAGTCAAGTGTATTTTTTGAGGTACAGTTTACGTATTGAAAACAACGAAAACATTTTGCTATAGTTACATACGTCGGTTTTTTCCCAGTGTTTACGCATAAATTGCGTGCACTTAGAGAAGATAGACTGTGCGCTTTTATGGGAGTCGAAAGCAACATTGAAAAACAGGGATAGTCCTGTGGTAATGCTCTGTCATATTACAGAGATAGAAATTTTCAGATTTCTAAATTTGAGATTTCTGAATCAGAGACTTCGACTGTTTTTGCGGAGCGCGAAGTCCATCCGCGCGTAACTCTATATGTTTATGTTGGAATGAAGTTCGATTTGAAATTACACGCGTAGCCAATGTCTTTCACGATCGACCATCCTTAATCGAGAACACCCCCACCTAATACGACTCGTTACTTAAATCTATTTTTGGTCGCAACCCAAAGATACAATTCCAATTGATTACATTCAGAGAGATATTTTTCTTGCATATACGATAAATGTACATACATTATTATAGGTAAAAAGAATGTGGAGTAGGTTACATTATATAAATAGATGATTCGTTGTCGCGGATAAAGAATTGTAAATAATATATAGGCAATTGTAAAATAGTGTATAACATGAAATTTCGGAATTAGGTGAATAGAATGATTTCTGTTTTCTGGAACGCCCGTTTACAGGGGTTGGTTCCTGTATTAATATATTGATTATTAATAAGCAATTAATACCGCTCGTAGATAGAGACTATAATTAATATATTAACGATTCAACTAAGAACGTTTCGTTTCGCTGGATGTATAAAGAAGAAACGAAACGTTTCGTCCGATGCATCTAGTTTGTGTAAATTAATTCTAATTAATTAACCAGAATTGACTGTCGGGAAGACGCGATACGATTCGAGGCACATTAATTAACACAAACTAATTCTCGACTAAATATACATATACGTGTTTAATGCGACACGAGCCACAGCGAAATATAGAGTTTTATCGTGTCACTTGTACCGTGTAAGTAATAAAAAGAAAAGAATACCGATTAATCGCGACTAGAGAGGGAGAGAACGTTAATTCAATTATATATTATAATAACTTTTTATTTACAAACGCATACGCGCCTATTACGTATAATTATATAAATCTGTGTGCGATCAATATGGATTTATATACTTATATTCACTTATATATATATATACACACACATAACGATGAAGGAAAAAGGAGGGAGAATAATTGTAAAAAAAATCTTGTTGAGTGACATACAACAAATGTTATTAACTTGTATGTACATTGTATATACGACGATTTAACTGGCAACGTTTATCGACGCGCGCGATTTACTCGGTAGGTAACAAAAAAAGGAAAGAAAGGTTGCTGTCGATAAAGAAAAGAAAAAATAAAAAAAAAAGAAATACCAACAGTGCTACTATCAATCACTGCTGCTGCTATCACTATTACCACTATTATTATTACTACTACGCTACGCATTATTAATTAGTACAATTATTACAAACACTTATTTTTATTCTCACGATTGTCATACAAGAGAATGTTTTTCTTTCTTTTCGTGGTTTGAATTGAACATAATGTACACATGCTATCCAAGCCGAAAACGTGTACGCGTGCACGCGCGTCGTCGTCGGAAAATCTTGCAATTATACTTACCATTAATAGAACGTATACATAAATATATGAATATTACCGACGCGCGTGCGCCCGGTGCATTTCGCGTATGCGCATGTTTTCTCCGTATGTATGTATGTATGTGAGAGTTTGGCGGGAAAGAGTGGGGGATACAGACAGAACTCGGTAGATACACGGAGCATGTACAATTCATTGTGTACGCATAATACAAGGCATACATGCGTGCGAGACGTTTAACATACACGTGCACGCGACTTGATCTTGTGCATATGTTAAAAAAAAAAAAATAAGAAAAAAAAAAGAAGCGATGTGTATGTATGCTATGGTACAAAGAAGGACAAATTGTATTAGGTGACGTTTATTGAAACTGTGAAGAGGAATTATGAATTTTTATTACTGAAACACTGCGTTGACTTGTTTATTTATTAGTATTATGTATCTTCCCTAAATATTCCCACGATGATGCTCTTTCTTTCGATCGTTCGTTTCGGTTTGCAGCCATGTTCTGCGTTCTTAAACTTTAAACCAACACCGTATGTAAATCACACGAATGCGCAGTAAATGATTAGCAATAAAACACTGTAATACGTCAAGCAGTTTGCATTATTGCCACGTTGCGTTGGTTTCGACGTAATCGCAAACAATGTTCATCGTCATCGAACCTGTTAACTATTCGACGCCTTTTTCTTTTACGAAGTTTTTACTCGTAGACCGATAATACGCGTGTGCAATGAAATATAGCAAAATTTAATAAACGTATGTATCTTGCTGTTCTATTCAACGAACAATATTTGTCTTCGAGCAAGAAAACTCATTTACAGTGCTATGTTTTATCGTTACATTACCTGAGATTATATCGTTACGCGAGATAAACGGAGTATTTGTCTCGGATCTCGCAAACTTTACTGGAAATTCAGTGAGATATTCATGTGTACGCGTGATTACACGATGCAGATTAAATTACCGTACACTTTGGTCAACTCGTTCAATTAGTATACGAAATAATGAGACCGATAAAATGTCAAGTATCAAGGATAGACTGCGGTAGAGTGAAAGGCTAAGCGCGCCGAAAAGTGCACGCTCGCGCGTCGCGAGCACGGTGCATTAAAAAAGAAAAGAAACGTTTTCTCGGCTGTTTAAACGTAATCGGCGAACAAGTTTCCCCTAGTTTCGGGGTACGTGGTCGCGCGACTGTTTTCACGTTGTCTCCTGGTCGAGCGTCGTGACTGATTTCCACCTCCCTGTGTCGCGATGGAATGAACGGTACCGGGGAGTTTGCCGCGCGATAGGCGTATATTCTTGGCGCGACCTACCTTAAGCGTAAACTTGCTCTTTCGTTTAAGCGCCACCGTGCAACAGGAGGGGCGAAGTACAGGAAACAGAAGGAAGGTTTGGCGGAACACATCGTCACCACAACGTCGCGCGATAATTCTTGGTTCGTCGTTGTTTGCCGCGGCGCGTTTCTCCGTGCTTCAACGCCACGTACAAAGAAGGACAAATTGTATTAGGTGACGTTTATTGAAACTGTGAAGAGGAATTATGAATTTTTATTACTGAAACACTGCGTTGACTTGTTTATTTATTAGTATTATGTATCTTCCCTAAATATTCCCACGATGATGCTCTTTCTTTCGATCGTTCGTTTCGGTTTGCAGCCATGTTCTGCGTTCTTAAACTTTAAACCAACACCGTATGTAAATCACACGAATGCGCAGTAAATGATTAGCAATAAAACACTGTAATACGTCAAGCAGTTTGCATTATTGCCACGTTGCGTTGGTTTCGACGTAATCGCAAACAATGTTCATCGTCATCGAACCTGTTAACTATTCGACGCCTTTTTCTTTTACGAAGTTTTTACTCGTAGACCGATAATACGCGTGTGCAATGAAATATAGCAAAATTTAATAAACGTATGTATCTTGCTGTTCTATTCAACGAACAATATTTGTCTTCGAGCAAGAAAACTCATTTACAGTGCTATGTTTTATCGTTACATTACCTGAGATTATATCGTTACGCGAGATAAACGGAGTATTTGTCTCGGATCTCGCAAACTTTACTGGAAATTCAGTGAGATATTCATGTGTACGCGTGATTACACGATGCAGATTAAATTACCGTACACTTTGGTCAACTCGTTCAATTAGTATACGAAATAATGAGACCGATAAAATGTCAAGTATCAAGGATAGACTGCGGTAGAGTGAAAGGCTAAGCGCGCCGAAAAGTGCACGCTCGCGCGTCGCGAGCACGGTGCATTAAAAAAGAAAAGAAACGTTTTCTCGGCTGTTTAAACGTAATCGGCGAACAAGTTTCCCCTAGTTTCGGGGTACGTGGTCGCGCGACTGTTTTCACGTTGTCTCCTGGTCGAGCGTCGTGACTGATTTCCACCTCCCTGTGTCGCGATGGAATGAACGGTACCGGGGAGTTTGCCGCGCGATAGGCGTATATTCTTGGCGCGACCTACCTTAAGCGTAAACTTGCTCTTTCGTTTAAGCGCCACCGTGCAACAGGAGGGGCGAAGTACAGGAAACAGAAGGAAGGTTTGGCGGAACACATCGTCACCACAACGTCGCGCGATAATTCTTGGTTCGTCGTTGTTTGCCGCGGCGCGTTTCTCCGTGCTTCAACGCCACCAGTTTGCCGCCATTTCCCTCCGCTCCCTCCGTGTCCCTCCGGCGTGGCGCGATTTCCGGTTTATTTCCATGGCGGTCGCCCTCTGTTGGTTCACTTTTTCGGACGAAGCGGACGACACCAAGCTGTTAGCCGTGCAAGTGTGAAAACGACGATCATGACGCATACGTGAGTGCATTTCGGAACAGCTACGCGTTTCTGTGCGAACTTGTCGATTATGACGGATCATGCGTATTGACCAATCATCGGTAAAAACGGAAGAAAATAGATCCCTGTAAAGTAGAATTATCGCGTGTAAGTTGACCGCGACCGAAACCGCGTTAACCGATTTAGAACGGTCGGAGGAGACGTCTTGTCGTCGATACGAGTATTCTTAGACAAATCAACGCGAACGAAGCGAAGAACCGGAGAATTACCGTGCATTTTTGTGTGGCGCGAGTTCTTGCCACGCGACGTCGCGTTTCGTGCACGTGCAATCGAACGTAGACACGAGCACGCCTCCCCGTACCACGCGGGAATTACTGCAGTCGAAGCTTGCTAATTGCCTCGAGTTTTTTTACTCGGAACCAGTATAATCGATCGACTTACCGATTATCTAATTTCCATCCAGTTCACGAAAACGTAGTTGGTAGCGATACTTTACTCACCGCGATAAGATGTTAAACATCACAGGTGCGAAGCAACATTTCTACGATATATGTACGCGTATAATTCACGTTCGTGGCATCGAGCGCATTCTTAGCGTCGTTACCGCGGAATTGGAAGGGACAAGGACGCGTTTAACCTCTCGTTAAGATTAGTGAATCATTATCGGTAGACGTTCATCTGTGTTTAGCTACTTAAACGATAACGAACCTTTCCTCTAGAGTTACGTCATCGAACCGATTATCACCGCGTCGCGATTGGAAACGTCGAAAACGGGTTGTCATGTGGTTCGGTGGTCGCACAATCTCCGCTGAAACGGGTTATCGGACAATCGCCTCCAGACTCCACGTTTCTTATCGACGATCGACGGAATTCGTGGTGCGCGCGTTGTGCATACGGACCGCTCGTTAACGTTTTCACGCGCAACCGTTCGATTCGATCGTAGGTGTTCGTCGGTTTCGATCCTCGATCGAGTCAAGTGAATCGCGGCCTCGTCTCGCATGAACGACCGTCGATCTCGATTCGATGCGTCGATTTAGGCTGCGTTTAGACTCGCCGAGTAAGCTATCGATACAATGTTATACGATTAATGTCGAACCGATGCTTTTTCATGGGTTCAGGCGGAACATTTTTTAATCGCTTTGTTATGCACGTATCTGTAGCAAAAAAGAAAAAAATAATAAAAACGGACTTCGACGACCTTGATGAAAAGTAAAATACAGACTTTAGCAGAGCGTTAGTTACGCGAGCGAAAGAGACAGAGACAATGTATGCTTCGTTAATTCGGTTCATTGAATGGTCAGTTAGGTTAACACGAATTAAAGTAATTACTCCGGATCAGAAAACACCTTGCCAATTTCAATGACCCTGTTCATGTTCTCAGGGTCATTCTGACCAACTTTCTCCCGTGTGAACGTAAAATTTAAAACGCGAACGACACGAAAAAAAATGCGTATTCGATTACATATTGATATTGTATAAACGCACTCTTACCTCGTGGCAGTACGCATAGACTGCGTATAGAAACAGATTTCGCACTCCGAACGTGACATCCGAAGGAACAATGACGATTTCTTCGCAAATCACAGAAACCATAAAACTGGAATCCCTCCAACTTACACGTTAGAAGGAGAAAAATGAAGCAATGCTCTTTCTTCGTCGCGTTGAATCGAATGCCTCTCACGGATCGCGCAGTCTATTCCTGCGTGTCTACGGCGGTAGGCGAATATCGATCGCGTCCAAGCGAATTTCGATCGATCGTTCGTCGGGCAACAATCGATTCCGCGGAAGTAGAGGATGTACCGGGGAAGAAAAGCGCGGGAAATCGGTGGAGATGAATCGACGTCGTTCGAATTTCGCGTAATCGTCGGTTTGTAGGCTCGTTGGTGACGCTACGCGTCGTATCTCCAGACTCCACGTTTCTTATCGACGATCGACGGAATTCGTGGTGCGCGCGTTGTGCATACGGACCGCTCGTTAACGTTTTCACGCGCAACCGTTCGATTCGATCGTAGGTGTTCGTCGGTTTCGATCCTCGATCGAGTCAAGTGAATCGCGGCCTCGTCTCGCATGAACGACCGTCGATCTCGATTCGATGCGTCGATTTAGGCTGCGTTTAGACTCGCCGAGTAAGCTATCGATACAATGTTATACGATTAATGTCGAACCGATGCTTTTTCATGGGTTCAGGCGGAACATTTTTTAATCGCTTTGTTATGCACGTATCTGTAGCAAAAAAGAAAAAAATAATAAAAACGGACTTCGACGACCTTGATGAAAAGTAAAATACAGACTTTAGCAGAGCGTTAGTTACGCGAGCGAAAGAGACAGAGACAATGTATGCTTCGTTAATTCGGTTCATTGAATGGTCAGTTAGGTTAACACGAATTAAAGTAATTACTCCGGATCAGAAAACACCTTGCCAATTTCAATGACCCTGTTCATGTTCTCAGGGTCATTCTGACCAACTTTCTCCCGTGTGAACGTAAAATTTAAAACGCGAACGACACGAAAAAAAATGCGTATTCGATTACATATTGATATTGTATAAACGCACTCTTACCTCGTGGCAGTACGCATAGACTGCGTATAGAAACAGATTTCGCACTCCGAACGTGACATCCGAAGGAACAATGACGATTTCTTCGCAAATCACAGAAACCATAAAACTGGAATCCCTCCAACTTACACGTTAGAAGGAGAAAAATGAAGCAATGCTCTTTCTTCGTCGCGTTGAATCGAATGCCTCTCACGGATCGCGCAGTCTATTCCTGCGTGTCTACGGCGGTAGGCGAATATCGATCGCGTCCAAGCGAATTTCGATCGATCGTTCGTCGGGCAACAATCGATTCCGCGGAAGTAGAGGATGTACCGGGGAAGAAAAGCGCGGGAAATCGGTGGAGATGAATCGACGTCGTTCGAATTTCGCGTAATCGTCGGTTTGTAGGCTCGTTGGTGACGCTACGCGTCGTATCGCGTCGATAGGAATCCTGTGGCGTGGCGAGTCGGAGCGAGTGTCCAACGAGACGATCCTCTCCGCTCGTGACGGACCAATCTGGCATTCGGTCGTTATCGGTGACCGATGGAAGCCGTGCACGGCCGACGGGACACGCTGATCGCGCTGCTAATTCTCCGGCACATCGCGCGCGCCTTGTTAGTAGACGCGCATCACGCGGCCACGAACACGCGTTGCTTCCGTTGCTGTCGTTTCGCTTCGTGCTCGATCTCTGGAATTTCGGCGCTCTGTGACGCCGACCCCACGAGGAAAGGTAATCAACCGATTTAAACGTATCTCGTTAACGCGTTTAACCGGACGCGCGTGTTTCGTCACGGTGCGATTAACGCACCCGTGTTAAAAGTTCAGGCGGTAGGTGCGCGTGTGTGAGTGTTCGGTACGAAAGCGTGGCGCGTTTCCCGCCTTCCAGGTCCGCGCACGCGCACTCGGCCTCCCTTTGCACGTGCTTTACGACACACGTGCGCGTTTTCCGTACGGTGTCAATTAGTAGACGCGAAAACGCATCCGTCGCCTTCGACGATACGCGTTTGACGGGCCAGCGTACGCTCCGCTGCTTATCGCGAGATTTCTTGGGTCTATCAATCGCAATTGAGCAAGACATCTGTGTTTTTTCTGCTCGACGATCAGAAAAGACGCTTATCCGGCGATACCAGTGACGTTTCGACGCGAAACAACATCGATTTCCGAAATTTCCATACGGCTCGACCGCGAGTGGAACTTGCCCGCTGTAATATTAATTTCGTTTCGCTAATCAGATGACCTCGTCGATCCTTTACGCGCGCTCGAGGAAAACTCTGCTTTTTCCTCTCACGAATTTCTTTCTTAATCGCTTTCCATTTCAGCGCGAATCGACTAGTCGATCGACTCATCCGCCGTGGCTTCTCTCTGCCCACGATCGAGTTAGCAAAAAAAAAGAGTGTACAATAATTGCTTCTCGCGTCCTCGCTTCGCAAGTGTTAGATTCTAACGAGGTTATAGCGACAACAAATCATTTCTTGAATCTTCGAAACGCTATGGAGCGTTTCCTGCACCTCGGCCAAGCCTCTTTTGTTCTCTTCAACGGAAGTCCTTCGTGGAAATGTGTGTTACCCATTGGCGTGAGTAAGTGGCGATATATGGAGATTTGGAAATTCAGTGAGTCCGCATTCGAAATATATAAATTCGAGGACTCGGAGATACGAGCATCTGGGAATTTGTATAAATGGAAATTTAGGATTTCGAAAATCGAGGACTGTGTATTTGGGAATCTGGATAATCGAGAGTTTATAAAGTAGATTACCTATCGCTACTCGCGGCTCCAGTTGCCTATCACCGATTCAATGTATTATAGCGGTCTGACGCATCGTACAACACACGATAATGTAGCGCGTGGTCGTACATCGCGTTGCCGTATAGTAAAAAAAGACCTGCCTCCCTCGAGTGAAAAATCCTGCTTACGCCAATGGTTTCAGCCACGTGTTACAAGACAGACTCTTTTAGATCTCCAGTTTCTTTTTGACCTGCGGAAACTCTCCGCCGTGCACGAACAATGGAAAAGAAGAAAAGCGAGGTAGTCGAGTAACGAACAACGGAGAGATCACGGGTTTATTGGCCTGTTTGCTGCTATTTGTAAAAGGCTGACGTTCGCTGATTCAGCATCACGATGTTGGTAAATAAATGCACAAGAAATCGGTGGAGATAAGTTCCGAGGAACTTTGGCCTCGGCACGTGGTCTCGTTTCCCTCTCGCGATTCGTAAGGGACGCATCATTGATCGCGCCGCTTTTGACCATCCTGTTTGGTCATTCGCGTTCGCGAACGGAGCTGAATCGAGTCTCTGGATCGTCCTAATAAATTCTTCGAGAGCAGCCAATAACGCTCTGGAATTCAATAAGGGCACCTCGCTTTGTTACTCTCGATGAGACTGACCGAAACCAATGATCTATCCGAAGAATTATTCGATGCTTCCGAAGAGTCGGAAATTTTGATGGATAATCGATCGTATCGATGAACACTTTGCTTCTCTATTA